CGGGGGGTGGCCGGTTTCCCTGTATCTGACGTTACTCCAAAAGTACGGACTTGCATGTGCCCGCCCCGCAAAACTCAAATCCTGGACCGCAACTGTTTTATCCGCTAGAGCCACCTCGTTCTCTTAACATCATCACTCATAAATATGCCCACTGCAACATCCAACCATGCCTCTGGCAAAAGGAAACCAGATACGACTGCCTCCAAAGACGCCCATTTGACGAAGCGACCCCGAAACACCGATCCTAAGACTCCAACACCAGCTCTGCTAACTCCCCACGAAGCCATCATCGCTGAGCTCAACTCCAAATATGACATCCTACCTGCTTCAGTTATCTCGTCGACGAAAATCAAGAAGCGTATCATGCAGGTCGCAAACCACATAATGGCTCAAGGCGACCGACCTCGAGTAGCACTGCTGTATGCGCGAACCGCCGATGTCTGCAAGCTCATCACAGTGGTGGAAAAATGCAAGCTCATCGTCACGGAGGAAGGGAAATCATATCATCAATACAACCAGCTATTTGACCAACCAGAAAAGTCCAAAAGAAGGGATATTATTGAAGAGACAGTTCTCGAAGATAATATTCAAGAAGACAATGATTCCGATAACGACGATTTCGAGGTCATGCACAGCCGATTTGAAGGCGCAGTGCTACCTCAGCCGTCGCCACGATCTGTTAAATCAATGAGGGTTTTCATTTCGACTGTGCCCATACAGGAATTGAAGATAAAGAAGGGCGTCACGGTCCAGTCTGGTACAGCCAAGCAGGCTTGATACAGTCCCGATACTTCTACTCTGTTCAGACCGTTTTGTCTACCTTTATGTTTTTAATATACTCGACTGAACCATTCCAGATGGTTCATGATTGAGTAAGTCGTATAGCAAATCACAAGATACCCAGCGCAAGCGAATAGAACATTCTGCGTTTATTTGTGCCGCTACAATCATGCAATACTGTTTTGAGAAAATTTGTGATGTCCCGGCTCCAACGCCAATGGCCCAATACACCCTGAGACTCCATTCCCCGCTGAGCCATTCCCGCCTCTTCCCATATAAGCGGCCCTTAGATCCTGTTAGTTGACTGTAACCGATGTGATCATGTCCAGTGGGTCTCTAGTTGCCATTGTTCTTGGACTTGTCGGTGATTCGGAGGACAAAGTTGACAATGACGGCCAGTAGAAGAATGATGGCCAGAACGGTGGGACCAAAACGGTCGTCAAAGCCAGCCTGACCCTTCATTCTTATAGACTTGGCTCGCCAATGGTACGTCACCAATGCATATATCATGGTCAACATAGCGACACCAGTGAAGAGGAATGCAGAGATGAAGGCGACTCTATCACCGAAGTTCAGCATGCCGATGGCGAGGGCGCCGAGGATGACGGTGAAGTTGAGCCATGACAGGAAAGTTCGTTCGTTCGCGAAGAAGACCTTGGGTTCGACGCGGGTAGGCAAAGCAATGCGCTTACCTGGAAGACATGTTAGACAGACCAAGATAACCAAATGTCAATTGCAAGATTCAATGAGTTTTTGGGGCAGACGTACCGGGAGTGGTCTGAAGGAGAGGTTGGGAAGACATGTCGGAATTGCTCGAAATCGGCGAGGTTTTATTGTTGACAGCTACGGTAGCAAATGTTATGTACCCGTTGGCGAAGGAGGGAGGGGAGCGCTGTCGAGTAAAAGGAAAACCGGTCGTTCTTGAGAGGATATGAGATGACGCTCAATCGGTAATCCTGGTGCGAGCGATTGGCGAATGACTTCACTTGACCAAAAAAAAATGTTTGTGACAAAGAAAAGGTCCAAGTCGTCTGTTTATGTACGACATGGACTGGACTGCCGAAACGAGGACAAGACGCTCGCCCCACTTCTCGGTGTGTGTTCCTGTACCTAAATACGGAGTAGCAAGCTTGGATCCTGCTTCGAAGAGCACGTGGTTCATTGGTTGGACGTAATACCAGCACACGACCGCCCTATCAACTGCAGAAAACTTAGCATTCAGAAGCAGGTACCGCCGGATCTGCCTTGACTTCCTCATGGAATCACCTACATGTACGCCGATGATAGACCATATATTCTTTACAACTCGTGACAAAGCTCGTAATCTCATAGACCTCAATTGGAATGACGGTCATTTCGAATGCAACGATAGTTTTGTCGTTTCTAGCAATGCTTACAGATACCAATGAGACATATTGGATCAGTGCGTAACTTCATATCCAATAAGAAGAAACTCTTTCACGAAAGCTTATCATGAGCTATCATGGCTCTAGCTCTACTAAGAAAAAAAAATCAAGCATTGACGTCGCTAGAAACAAAGCAAAGACATGAGGTACTAATAAGACATGTAGACACAAGACTCAAGAGTATGATCCCCCTAGTAATGAAGCCCAAATTATGTCAAAGTTCAGAATAAGATCTTACATTCTAGATCAACACCGTAATATCAAACTACTAATCTACCTAGTTCTCTGCGGTACCTTAAGGTAGCTATACCTACTAGGTATCTAGGTACCTTAGGTAAGGTTACCTAGTACCGAACAATAGATGCTGGAACGAACGATTGCACTCAATGTTGATCACGTGTCTGACTGGCTCCCTTTTTCTGGGTGGTAGTAGGTAGCCGCGATAGAAAGACATTCTGACACAAGCTGAGCTAGAATAATCATGATAATAAAATGGTCCCAATTATGGATAGTAAATAACTAGATTTGGTTCTCTTGACCATGATAATTGCTCAGCGAAGCATGATATAGAAAAAATAAAGTTGTTGTTACTGAAGGTGCTAGCCATGGTTTGTGCATGAATGCATAACCCGGTTCCTCTGATAACGAGGCTTGTTTTTGTTTACCGACCGCTTTCCACCTGTCCAATCCCATCCACGACGCCAGCCATCAAACATTAACTCACCTCCAAACCTTCCTCTCAACCCCAAAACGACACCAATCTCGACAATGGCCACTCCTGTATGTGCACAAACGCTGAAGGGATCCTATATCCGTGCGAGAGTTAATCTTTGTCTAGCCGATTCCCCCCAACCGCCTCAAGCAGATCGCTACTGACGTACGTCGCCCATTCATCTCTGCTTACCGCCAACAACAAGACGGCCATTTCTTTCGACGCGTGTACTAATGACAAAAATTACAGGCTTGCAACAGCGCGATTGGAAGCGCTGAATTCTATGATCATGACAAGACCGAGCAATGGAACTCAACAATTATTGTAGGTTGAAGACACAACTGTACACAGCGTTGTAGCTGAAATATTAACTATGATTGCAGAGTTCTGTTCTGAAAGCTGTCATCTCTGAGTCAACCCCCGAGGGCGCTTCTGCTCCCTCGTTCAAGTTCGCATGCAATAGCACCATCGTGCAGCACCTCGTCCCTACGTCCGCCCTGAACAAGCCCCGTGGTGGCACCGAGATCAAGGCTGAAGAGCCTCACATTTCTACGAGCTCCGAAGCGACTGCCACTGACGGAAAGCCCCATGTCGGTCGACGAGGAATGCACAGTGCCACAGGCGCCTACTGGGACCAGAAGAAGGACGGCATGTGGACCTTCAAGTATGATGGCGGTGAGGGCAAGGGTCTGGACGTAGTTGTTATGCTCATCTGGGTCGCCATTTGAACTCCCAACCGGACGCCGGACGGTCAGGTGTTTTCGTCTTGTTCTGGCCCCAAATCTGCTCCCTGCGGACGTGGATGGCACCCTAATTCAGCTATGGCGTTGAGGGACTTGGAAAGCGTAACATTAGGAATACGAAGGGTATGATGAGGCTTCCGGCCAAGCTATCCACCGACGACTTTAGTATCCATTCAGACCTTGGATGTAAAAATACGCTGGAGTTGGTAATATTCTCCAATACCAGAGGACTGGGATCAGCCAAGTTTCTTCTTTTCATGGGACTGTATGCTTTGCTGACCTGAGGTTGGAATTACATAACATCAAGACAGTGTCTTCACACACCCCTCGATGATCAATGGTCTTTTGTGCTTCTTTGTGTCTGCTCGCCTATGGTTCTCTCGACAACCATCGCAGCAAATACTCCTCTGTTGTCCCCAAGAACGTAGACAAGTTACAAAATCCAGCTCAATAAGGGTTATCACGGGCAATACTCCTGAGGCAATTCATGGATAATTGGAGGTTTGCTGCTTGGTGTCGTAGCCTATCGAACGATGCTTCCTCAACTCCTCGGGTTCACAAGTCAATGGGACTTTGTCATCTTGCAAACATTTCGCCGTCGCCCCCTTCTCACTATGCTGCTTTGTTCAGCACATTGTCTAGTGTATTTAACAAATGCTCTTCTGCGACCTTGCAGCGTATAGTTGGCAGACTTCTCGTCAATCATATATGTACCAACCAAACGAGTATTGAGTCAGCACAAGCCACGACTAGAAATATGGTATAATCTTGAGTCTGGTTTATTCTGATCAAACATCTCTCATAGCGACTGTTCTTATTTGTCCAGAAGCAAGTGATCACAAGATCACAGACTAATTCTTCAGAGCCACCGTACAACGAAAATGTGTAGGCCGTACAGTCACAGCGAACTATGTAAAGATGCTACACAGCGAATGTTCCACGGGATTTGGCAATGATCTAAAACACAAGAATACAGAAGATGTTACGAACTGAAACCTGCGTAGAGGTCAATGGGATTCCTGGTCTAATGTAATGCTCAGGTCAAGGTATTCAGTTACGCATGGATTGGGTGATATGGAGGGTATTCATATTACAGTGCCGCCAATACGGCCGATTATTTCTACCTATCCAGGCACCAGATTGCGATGCCGACGTGGCTTGCAGTCCTGTCTCACGTTGGGAGTAAACAGCCAGGGTTGGACAAAGAATTCAGCTTGTTCCAAATGTACCTTCACTAAAGAGCCTGGAATCGTGTTTGACACGACGGAGTCAACGAGCAACATTAGCCATGTTAACAGTTCCTTGTTTGCTGGTACTTGATCTTCTTGAAGGTAGGTCTCAAGTTTGAGCCTGATGGCCTTCCTTTCAAGCAAGTATCAGGCGTCATATAATGTAGTGTGAGATTCTATCTAGTGCCAAGAACTGTACGCCTACTATCGTCAAATACCCTGATCAGCACGAATCCGATTATCAGAATCAGGAGATCTTACATGTGTGGTCCCCCTGTGAGCTAGCATCAGATAATCTCACCACTGAGCAACATCATGATCCGTGGAGGGGAGACCTCAGATCATAGCATGCACCAATCGAGAACGGACACAATGGCGGCTCTTGATCGTGGTTCGTTCGCGCCATTACGGCTAATACATGCATAAGTGTAACCCCAGTTGGAACACCAACGATCCATACCTGCATCTTTGGGGTACACAAGGAGCGGTGCTTGCTGCATAGTCACTACATAGTCGTGCGAGGAGGGGAGCTCCGATTTCGAACCTAGGGGCGTTCAATGTGTTGTAAGCTGGCTTGAGAGTATCCGCAGACACGGCTGACTGGGTATGGCTTCATTGTGCACAGGGTGAAGCCGATATCATACGAATGTATAGTCAACTAGTATGTGGAGGTGGTGGCAGCACACACCTACCAAGTGCAATGATGTCTACAACTTCCTGTGCATGTTTTGTGGGGGTCTTATGTCTTGGTTTCTAACTGCAGTAGGTAGATACGAAAGACAGATGAATTCCAAAGAGCCGCAGCACATACGAAGATGAGAGAAAATAGAGCCGATGAAGAATGATGCACTAGGCGAAACTACTTGTAAAAGATCCTGGGGCAGTCAAAGAAATGTACATGCCCTACCAGGAATAGGTCATAAAATGCAGTTGGAAATCGGAGAGCCCGAATTGCTTCAATAGAATTCTCCAAAACTGACCATAAAGCCTCAATGAGAACACAGCAGTTTCATCTTCGCCAACCGACAGACTGATATTGTACTTTCGGGAGTCAAGATTCCCGCTTCTAGACTTCCATCTCGACACTCTGTGGCTGATTGATCTCTTCACTAAAACCAAAACAAATACGGAGTAGCAGCATCGAGACTCTTGTCGAGACCTTGCACGCCCTGACTTAAGATCGTTCCCGGTCCGCTCCCAGCGGGGTTCTCCGACCCCGTGCCTTTGAGTTGAGGGGACGTGGCCGGGGTCGATCCCATAATGACGTTGATACTGGGGTTATTAGCGCTCCCATAAACGCCGTGGGTTTGATAAAGAGCGTGCTTGATGATCCAAAGGCAGACACACGACAAAGAGTTGGATAAGTCGAAGTCGAGGCCGTTTGTTGCTACCGCGCTACACAGTTAAGAGTGAGTTGCTGCAAGATTACCCAGTCGTCACATCCTCTGTCTGCCCCTCGAAGAGAAGGCAGATTTCTCGTGTGTTCGCGAAGCTTGGAACATCTGGAAAGGGTGCCTGTCAGGCTCAATCTAGGCATGATTTGCCCCCACATGACACGCTGCACGACACGACATCACAATCGTCTGGGGAAGGGTTTTCACTTCTTCCCGTCATACGATGATAGACTAGATACTACAAGTAACTATGCCACTGAATATACCGGGCCGGCACGCTGCACAGATCTCAAGCTGTGACTGTCTATTATGCAGTTGGAGTTGGCGTTGGTGTTGCGTTTGGAGGACCATATGATCAGCAAAGAGGCCCCACGCCCAATTACTTCATATCCATAAAACATGGATCCGTGAAATGGATTTTGAGTTGCCACCATAACTTCTTGAATCAGGGTCTGTCCCAGTATCGCGGCCACTGGCGGGTTTCGGCATCGCCATGTCATATGGCCAGTAAGACAAAGCTAAAAAGAGGTTGCGAGGTAGAAAAGAGAAAGGGCACACAGGCTTCATCTGTGCCTCAGACAAACTAGCCAGACCAGAATTAGCTTATCATGGTTTTTTCCCAGAACTCTGTGTCCCTAGGTAGGCCGTAGGGTGTCATTTAACCCCTGGACGGGCAAGGATAGAACTCGAATTGGTTGATTCTGGTCCCGGGAGCCATCACACCACCCCCGTCCCCTCCCTAGGCCTCCCCCCCAAAATCAAAATCAAGCAACGGCATCCACCGACCTTCGGACTCCGACCGGCTCTTGGAAGACCTGCCCGGCCTTGTCGTCTATCCATCGTCAACGTTTTTATAGCCGGCCTACGTCGCCACTCCTCACGCATTCTGGCTCTTTAAATACAGAACTTCAACCTACACCCCTTCAACTGCTCATGAACGTGTTAGTGAGGCTCTCTCTTCATCAATATCCATACAACCGACACCGGTATAACATCGTCAACGCAACATAATAAGAGACAACTTCCTGGAGTGGATCACTTCCCCTCCTAGTTCACCGCGTCTCCTACGATATTACATCACAGCAATTGTGAATATCTTCAAAAAGCACTGCCATCAGCAACGCCGCTCCCGGGTTTTGACCTCAGCTGCACTTAGCATCTAGCATTTACCCAACGGATATATACAGCAACATCTTTGCCGACCAACCATGGTTCAATTATTGGCTGATCCTACATTCTCGCCCGCTGGAACACCAACACACGAGGGCACCAATGGGCCCCTTATAAAGCGTCCTGGCACTGTCCGGACTGATTCTTCAACTTCAATGACCAGGGAAGAACATGCCAAACGAATGCAGGAGCTCAACAAGAAGAGGGGAATGATGAGGGCACCCAGAAGAGGTTGGTCAATGACTGACTACCAAGGCGACCATGTGGCTGGGTCGCACTCGGGCGCTTCTCACATCGAGCGACAAGCACCCATTCCCGAAAATGAGTCGCCTCCTCCATCCACGCCTTACCAGCATCCAACTCCTGAAGTACCAGCCGAGGATAAAGCGGCCCAGCTTCCTCATCGACCCAAGCTGCCTCCTCCTCGCCGCTCATACTCTGTAATGGATTATGAACCAGTTCCTCAGACACAGCCACAACCCCCCAAGGATCACACACTGCTAGATCTTCCTTCTGAGCTCCATTACACCATATTTGATCACCTTGATCCCATTGACAGCGCTTGCTTCGGCCTCACAAACTCCAACTTCTACGAAATCCACCGACGACTTCACGGCACAGTTCCTCTCTCCAGCCGTTACTCTGGACCAAACGACATGGAGTGGGCTTGGCGAGGAGCTGGCCCCCTTGTCCACCGACATGAGCGTAACCCCGAAAAGGAGGATGCCATGGGGCAGATGCGTGTCAAGGGCCAGGTGTACTGCCGAAAGTGTGGCATTGCGCGATGTGAGCTGCATCGTCACCTCAAAGACTGGATGGGTGACGGCTATGAGTACTGCTCCATCAAAGAGATTTTCGGCAAGCCCGCAGGAGAGGATGCAAAGCCATACTGCTACATGAAGTCACCGAAGAACCCGCACCGATGCGGACGTCATGGGGGAAAGTAGGGTACAATATAATGAACCTAGACGACAGCAAACTAAGATAAACGATATGATACAACAACTCACCCCCATGGGGGTATGACGACATGGAAGCAAAATCCAAGCAAGACAAATTCCTGGGTTTTCTTTTTTTTATTGGGACATTTACAGGAGCGTTACGGTTAAAGAACTTTTGATTTCAGGGTATATTCTCTCTTGAGAAGTGGGCATTTCGGATAATGGATAATGGATAATGGATACTACGATTT